TCACTATTCGATTTTGATTTGTATTGCGCTCGCATGATTCTTCTCAGGATTACAGTTTAGTACGAGCTTATTTACATGCAGTATGTTGATTTTAACGATGCAAAGGATGGACAATATTTTCAATAATTCAGGTAATTCGATTTCAGTTTAATACCTTGTTATTTACATGCAGTATGTTGGATTTTCACGATGCAAACGATCGACAATATTTTGAATATTTCCGGTAAGGATAGCTTTATTTCTTTCTGAATTCTGGTGATATACATGAAGACATTTATATTTAGATTTGCTGTTTAGTGTTCGATATAGAGGCATTGAAACAAATATGATTTCATGAATTTGCAGTTCTAATAAGCCCACTGATTGTCTTTATATTCATACAAGGAGTCAAGATGTACTTTTAGTTTATCTATTTGTGTGGCGAATGGCGATGTGCCAAGGACGCATTTATATTTAGATTTGCTGTTTAGTGTTCGATATAGAGGCATTGAAACCAATATGATTTCATCAATTTGCAGTTCTAATAAGCCCACTGATTGTCTTATATTATACAACTACAAGGACTTGTAATATTCCCTGGTGCTGTAGAGAGTGTTGTGGAGTTATGGTGCACCCAAATGTGTGTATGGCTTTGTGTATACAGTAGTGCGAGTAGATACAGGTTTATACAATCATTGTGTAATGTGCTTCACTGTTGTTTTATATCCACGGCGAACATTTATTGTATGGTTCTCATTAGTAACAACCGGTGTCTCATATTACATCACAAAGCTTTTTGCGCGGATTATATTTCGCACATTACTAAAATTCGCGCAACCCAGCGCTGCGCGAATTCTAGTACTGCCCAAATTTTTATATAAGTAAGGTATATGAAATTGTAGCAACAAGTCATGTGATGCAAGTTTTTAATGATTTATATCCAGGTTTATTAGCATAGCATGACCAGTTGCCGTGGCTAGCTTGCCACTGAATACTGTACAATGACATATTGCCATATATATCAACAATGATATCATAATACGTGAATAAATCATTGGACATGTAGAGTTTAGTTTAATAATTGCTAGCTTCACCATTAACAGTATAATTATACATACAAAAGCAAGAAGTTATTTCATGGGGGGTTTTATATGAGGGATTCATATAAAACCCCCCATACCAAGAAAGTAGCATTAAAATCTTAGCTGAACTTTGACTTTGTGCAAGGTGTTTGATATTCAAATTGCACTTTTCGGTCTTTTCCTGCATCCTGAACAGGCGTATTATATTAGCAATCTCGTACCCAGAGTGTGCCCGTTCGCAAGTTTGGTCATGCCCAGCACCTAACCTGCGAACGGGCATACTCTGGGCTGTTTACATGATGGAAGTTGGGATGATTTTGATGTATTGAAATAAGTCACTAGAATAAACAAAAGTTCAAATGCTGGCTAACCGAACTCAAATGTTGTAGAGAAAATCATGTAGTTCAAGATTTTTATAGCTTTTTGAACAACCTTTCGTTTACAGTTGACTATAATCCATCTCTAGAAAATAAAGTTTTTCACAAAATCATCGCGCCTTATATCTCGTCCTGGCAAAGCGGTTTAAGCGAGATCCGTATAAATAGCCATTATTCAGCAAATTGCGTATGCTCCCTGTCTTTGATCCCTTGGGGGTAAGGCAGCACTTTCCTTGCGATAGTAACTTCTAGTATAATATTTTCTCTGTCTAAACAACTGAAATTTTGTTATACTATTATTGCCGTAATTTTCCGAATGGCCAACCCGATTTTCCGAATATGTTAATTTTACAAAAGTTGGAGGGTAACCCCCCCAATATCCCCTCGCTACGGCCCTGGCTGCATGATCGATAGAAAATGGCCAAAAAGTAAACCCCAATAATTAAATCTGCGTCGAATTTTAGTCCGTTTTTCTTTTTTGAAAAAGGGGATAAGCAAGCAAGGTTAATAAGAAGTTTATTATATGGCATTCACAGGCATTTATAGGCTATTCGAAACAAATTAAACATGCAAGAAATGCATGATTTTGAATGCATATTAGTAGCGTGGTACACATTTGGTTGAAGAAAACAAAAAATACCAATGTATTCCTTCTTTTCCACTAAAAACCATTCGCAGATATCTTATTACACTTCCTCGTTCCCAGGCGCTAATAAAAATTTTCATGCAAGCCACTATATGAAAGGTTTACATGAAGTAGTGCGTCATATTATAGGCACGCAAAGGGGACTGGGATATGAGCGTTCTGGTTAGCGCCAAGCCGATCTTGTATATTACCAGAAAGAATTAAAGCTGTCCTTACCCGAATTATTCAAAATATTGTCGATCGTTTGCATCGTGAAAATCAAACTTAATGCATGTAAATAAGCTCGTAACTGAAATCCTGAGACGAAACTTGCAAATTAAATACAATACAAAATAAAGTTTCATCGCTCCCGTTTCAATTGCTCATTGTGATAGAAATGCATTGTCATTTTTCCATACCTTGTAAATTTATTATACAAACCAGCTTCTGCAGCCCCGTTTAACTCTTCAAGTGTTGACATCTCGGAATCATTTAAAACGTTAAATGATATCAAATATCATCTGACTGTAATCACATGTTTAATTTAACAATTTGAAATGTTGTTTCCTCAAAAATATGGCGAAAGAAGCCCCCAAACTGTCGAAAAACCATGGTTTGCAAGAAACAGACGAATTTTGCAAGTAACGGCACAAGATCTCCCAGACGCTACTCAACTTTCGATGCCTCAAGCCCATAAGAGGGTCTTGAAGGGGTAAAATGGGAACTGGGATTTGCTTATTTTTTGGGTGGAAAAATGGGATTTCATGCACTGGGACTGGGATTCATCAGCAACAAAACAATAGAAAATGGGAATGGGATTAAGATTTGAGCAGGACAGCCACTGAGATGATGGGATTTGTGCTCTGGGACAATGGGATTTAGTCAAAATTTGGGCTGGGGAATGGGAATACGACCCCCCCCCCCCCTTCAGGACCCTCCCATAACTCCCTGCGCTTGTTCGTCACAATGCACTACTTCATGTAAACCTTTCATATAGTGATTCGCATGAAATTTTTTTATTAGCACCTGGGGACGAGGCAGTTAATAACAAATTAAGTTATAATTTTCAAATTTTCAATTAGTTTTGCTGTTTTGTTTTAAAATGCATGCGTTTGTTTTTTACGTAATGGACCGCCGGTCCATTATGGGAAAATTATGGACCGTTGAAATTAAAGTGCTTCTCATTTCACCGGAAGTGATGCTTGCCATCAGGGACGCCGGAACGATGTGAAGGAAGGGGTGCATATTTAGGCCTTTCCCGATTGCGCTGAGCACTTTTTGAGCACTTTTTTTTGTTTGGAGCACCATTTTGCATGTTGAGCAACGTTGAGCACTTTTTCGCACTTTGGGCAACATTTGAGCAATATTTCACATTTCGAGCGAATTTTGAGCAACAAAAAGTTAGCGATTATAGAATTCGATTCGTACCTCGATTAACTAAACATACAGTTCGGAGTAAGGTTTAAAAATTGACGGGTATTATACTATTATTTTATATATAATTTAGGTATAACTCCAAAAGAAAAGCCATACAGCTGCATATGACATTACAGTTAAAAAATTAGAACGCTGACTTTTTCGAGTTCTCTTTTTTTTGTCGTAAACAACTCCATATACGGAAGTTTGTTCCATATATGGAGAAGGACGTGGAAACAGATTTTAAAAAATGCTGATCTTAAAAAATTTACGAAAATCTTAGAGGTAACTGTTCACAATTTTAGCACTTTTTGAGCACTATTTTGAGATTTTGAGCACTTTTTGAGCACTTTTTAGCCATTTTTGCCAGCACTTTTTTAGGATTTTACCAGCGCAATCGGGAAAGGCCTATGCATATTTTCGTGAACAGGCACTTTTGAATTGATTTATACTAAGAGATGTGTGCAAAACATCGGGAGTTGAACGTCGCCTAATCATGTTTTCTATTTATTAGATGATAGGGGTGTGAGGGAGTTCTCTGCCAGGCGATTGTGCTATTCTTGAAGCTCGATGACTGCATTTCTTGCGTTTTCTGAAGCAAATTCGTAAAAGAATTACACTAACATTTCTGACAATTCGCTATTTTTTTGTATACCTATAGAACTTTTTTTTCTCACTTGATGGCTGGAAATATTTTTTAAGTGCCGCCCCCATATTGTAGGAATAAAGACTCACAGGAGGGAAATTGGGGTGGGGCAGATATTCATATATTCTTGTTCTGCCCATTCAATTAATTTCTTTTGAAATCGATTGTTTTTTAATAATATCTATGAATATTTCCCCCCCCCCCCAATTATCGATATTCCGAGGCAGTCACCAAACAATCTTCTACCAGACATAACCATTATATCCGTAGAATTCGTGGTCATATCAGGGATGTTACAAACATAACTTAAGTGGTTGGAAACGTTTTATAAAAAGTACCAACTGTATCTGAAATAAAAACATGTAGGGACTATATATAATGGACTATCACCTCAAATTATTAAAGAGCGATTGGATCCTGTTGTTTTCAGCTTGCATAAACGCAATATGTAGAGTGGATGTAACCATAAAGTGGATGTAACCACTTTATAATCGGCGACTTTTAAAGTGAACAAAGTTGATTAAGATTTGAAGATCGAAAGCCAGAAAATGTAGGGCATTTGGTCTTCTTATAAGCCTTAATAGTCGTTGATGTTGCGCAGAGCGTAAGATGTAGTTTTAAGGTTGTAAAACAACTGAGCTCGAGCATAACAGATCATGATAATGAGCATGCATGTAGTTGACAATTATTCCAACTCTGAATTTTTATTCAATGCTCGACCGCTCTTGTAAACAATCAGCATTACTTAACGAATAGATAATACAGCGAAAAAATGTTGATCATTCTACATTGGAAATTCTGCGCAATACTTAAATTATGCATACAATCTATCCCCAATGGTAATCCTGTCAAAACGCTCTTTTTAAACATATAACCTAAAAAAACCTACCCAGTTCATGAGGCAATTCTTCACAACAAATAGCAAGTGATGTACTCAGACCAGATAAGACGGAAGTACTGCAAGATGCACCGATGGCTAAACCATCGATAAAGTTGTGGAGTCCATCGCCTATCACGATCATCCATGCCACTGTAGCGATCTTTTTATTCTGCGGCACATTTAGTTTCTTTTCGTCTGTCATTTCAGGAAACGTTTCTGGGACGTGCGACAGTCCACCAGATTCAGTTGGTAAATGGTGACTATGCCCATGAGCTGAATCATTTGTATAAGAATTCACTTTTATTTCATTCGCATTTGGATCGGACTATCAATATAGGTAAAATAGCAATGAGAGTGCATCAGTGGAGGCGGATTTTCACTACGATTTAGATAGCACATATCACATGCATTATAATTGTACCAGTTATATTCTGATTTCTGCACATCGCATTGTTAAGATCGAACAATTCAATGAGTGAGGTTGCTGCTAAGCCCATAGTCTTCATCATGGACGTCAGTAGACCCCCTCCCCCACACCACACACGCACACACACACCAATACGGTGGGCAGTTAAAGGAGCTGACAATGACGTAATCATAGAATGATTAACAATGGAAACGTCATTAAAAGAAACGTCACAATAGAATCAGTTAACATCAGTTAATTAAGGGACGGACCATTAGAAAAGTGATGGGGAGGGGGGGGGGGGCAAAACCAAAAAAAAAATATTCCCAGAAAAAAATAGGGGGAAAAATCTTCCCAGGCATAGGACAAAAAAAATTCCTTGCTTGGAAGATAAGCCTATAAAATTCACTTAAAAAATATTTCCAGCCATCAAGTGAGAAAAAAATATTTCTATAGGTATACAAAAAAATATTGCCTCTTAGAAAATCCCCCCCCCATCACTTTTCTAATGGTCTGTCCCTAACAAGACCATTACATCAATAAGATGTCTACGCACTGATGAGTGGTGGGATGCCGAAACATGCGTGTCTGCAAATCGTACTATTGCAAATCGTACTACAAGCAAGCAAGCAAGCAAGCAAGCAAGCAAGCAAACAAACAAACAAACAAGCAAGCAAGCAAGCAAGCAAGCAAGCAAGCAAGCAAGCAAGCAAGCAAGCAAGTAAGTAAGTAAGTAAGTAAGTAAGTAAGTAAGTAAGTAAGTAAGTAAGTAAGTATAATTCTTTAATGCCTCCATATTTGAAGATACGAATATTTACAATTATAAATAATTAATTAAAATTAGTTTAAAAAAGACAAACAACACACAAACTAGTAAATAGTTTCTGAATCCAAATAAATGTCAATGTAACTGGATATTGTTATTATCTTTGAAATAGACTCAGCAACTATAATATAAAAATTTTGTACTTGGTTATTATTATGTCCCTCCATGAATTGCATGTTTCCAAAGATCGTCTGCATCAAATTGTCCTCATCTAACGAATTAATGTTTGCTACGAATTCCACTGGAAAGAAATCTGTGATACGTTCCCATAATTTTGTTCTTGCTAATTGTGTTTCACAACAATGCAACATAGCATGTTTTACAGGATTTGTGTAGTAGTTACCACAAGACATACAATGAAATTGTGTTTTTTCTCCAGCAAATCGCACACCATTCACATAGAATGACCCACAAAGAACTTTAACAATAATTGCCACTTGGTTGGCCATCTCGCTGCTTTCGAGAGCAAACTGCAGCCACATGTTACGCATTGGTTCTTTTACGACTTGGCTGTATAATCCTAATTGTTTATAACGTTGCGTTTTGATCTTCCAAAACTCAATCTCCGCATGATTAATATTCTCAATTACTGTTTTCTTCCATTCAGATTTGCTGGGAAAATTTCCAGACTGCAGAAAATTGTCCATATACTCCCACAAGCAATACTTCTGTAAGATTCTAACTAAATCTGGTACAAAACCAGTGATTTTGTTCGGATTCCATCTCCATCTATTAAGTCGTATCATGAATACCCTGCGATGTACACAGTCCTCACTTGCACATATTAGTCGTCTGAGAAACAGAAGCTTTCGTTTGTCTATTTCTGCTCCGACCGTCCAGAGACCAAGAAGTCCACGTGCAGCTGAACCCGAGGTACCACTAAGTAAACCCAGACATACTCTTAAAAATATATTCTGTACCTTTTCCAATTTTGATAGTTTTTCTCGATTAAGTGTCCACAACTCAGCACCGTACAACATTTTCGGCAGAGCAATCCGTGCCCACAGCTTAGTCGCCACCAATGGATTCATCCCGTTAAATCTACATCCCAGATTTGCTAAGCCAATGCCGATAGCCTGACCTTTCTTCGCAGCCTCTAGTATTGGAATAAGGCTGGAAACGTCGGTGTGCCAATCTTTTCCAAGATTATGCCAGATACTTTTCTCCATGATTTCTTTACCTCCTATAAGCCATCTTCTGTTCGTAACTGCCGATATGTTATCTCGTTTTTCGCTAAGTCTCCATTTTAGGCTATAGTTATGAACTTGTACAAGCATGTTATCAAGACCTCGTTTTAATCTTGACATTAGCGTAAGATCGTCAGCAAACATTGGTGATCCAACAAACAAATTTTGAATAACTATACCAGTGGATAGCTTTTCCAGCTCGCTTATCATGTCATCAATGAAGAGAAGAAATAGCCATGGCGATAATACCCCACCTTGTCGAACCCCCTGTAAGATATCATACTGTCTGGAACGTTTACCATTATAAAAGACATATTCCTCCATGTCTGAGTACCAACCTTTTATTAGCCTCCAGCACTTTCCTCTAATATTTACGTTGTGATATAATTTAAACAACATACCATTTATCCATACTTTATCAAATGCCTTTGAGACATCAACATAGCAGGCAAATACTTTATCGTTTTCCTCGCAACAATGCTTAGTTGACTCGTCAATAACAAATGAAGTCGTCAAGGCGTCACGCTCAGCTTGGTAGGCCCCTTGAAGCAGGTGGGGTCGACATCTTATTTTATTTTGAAGCCTGTTGAGTACTAAACGTTCGAAAATTTTGTTAAAAGTACAAAGAAGAGTAATTCCTCTGTGATCATCGAATTTTGATGCACAGCTCTTCCCTCCCTTTGGAATTGGAATTTTGATTCCTAACTTAAATTGTCTTGGGATGTACTCCAATTCAATGATCTTATTATAAAGTATTAACAGCTTGGCAGCCAGAATGTCCCCAGAGTACTTAATATGTTCATACGTTATGCCATCATCACCCGCGGGAGCTTTATTATTTGGTAATTCTGTTAGCACATCCTCGATCTCTTTTAAAGTTATGGGATCCTGAAAGATATCATCAAATTCAGCTAAGGAGTTTTTTGTTATGTCACTAACCTCAATATCGATATACTCCCTGAAGTCATCATCAAAATTTGTATTTTCCTCAGGAGTTAAAAGTTTTTCATAGTAATTAGCCCACACATCTGCTATTTCTTCTGGATTTAAGATAGTTCTTCCATCATTCGTTGTGAGCACATTAGTTGATCTTTTCTTCTTTCTACGTCGGTTTACATATTTCCAAAACCTGATGTGATCGATCTCGGAAGCCTCACTAAGCTCTTTGAAATCATTCTCCTCTGTTTTTCGTACCATTTTACGTTGTTCCTTCTTGAACAGACGCTTTGCATCTTTGTATAACCGAAAACTTTCATACTGTTCTCCTCTTGGACGTCCTTCTGAGGTCCATTTCTTATGAAGCTCCATAGAAGCTGTCTTTAATCGCTTGAGTTCATTATTCCAGTAGGGCTTGATGGACTTCTTATACTTCGCACGAGGTAGACATTTGTCGCTGCTTTTTATGCTGCGACAGATCAAACGATAATAGTTCTCAACGTCATCACTGGTGTATAAGGTATCATCCATTGTTATGATTGTATCATTTAATCTCCTTTGATATTCTAGTACTTGTTCCGAAGCACATTTCCTCCACGCGATTCGTTCATACTCATTTTCTAAATTATTAGATGATTCATGGCAGTTTATACCAGCAGAAATTTCAATGCCAGCAATCAACGGCAAATGATAAGATAAATTGCACGGATGTTCGTCGCCAACTTTAACACACTTTACAATTCTTTCGATGTTCTTACTCGCAAAAATGTAATCAACAACACTGTTACCACAACTTGAGTAATACGTGAATAGCGGACCCATACAGGGCATATCCACGTTAACTGGAAACATGTCAAATTCAGCAAACATTTCAAGGAGTAGTTTTCCTCTATTATTTTCACGTTGACCTGAACGTGGATCCGATACATGTACGTTAAAATCGCCTGCAATAATGATTTGCTCTTCTCTGTAACTTAATTGAGTGCACACTGTATTAAGGCAAGTTAGAGTGTCGATAAAATCAGCCAAGTTACTGTTCGTTGATGGAAAATAGATACTACAGAAAACATAATTCTGATTATTCATTCGAAATTTAATTGCTACGATCCTATCATTTCCGAGTAATAATCGTTGTGCCTTGAGATGTTTTTTCCAAACAATCGCGACGCCCCCCTGACCTCGCTTCCATCTTGTGTTCATATTATTTTGTTCGCTTGTCTTTGCATAATACAAAAAATCGTTATGTAAATTGTCTAATATAGTAAGCTCATCGGCGTATAACCAATGTTCTGAGATGGCTAAAACATCAACACTTACGAGCAAAGCGGAAAAGTCGAATACGAGCGCGATAGGCCGCTGCGAATTGTTAACAAATTAATGAATTTTCAAAGCTTTGCTCGTGGACAACCTAAATTGAAATAGCTGTATATGTAAAATCCAAAACGACATAATTATACTTTACAGAGAGGGCCGTTAATTCCTAGCGCGATAATTGGGGAGGGGGGTGTATATTCATATATTCGTGTTCTGCCCCACGGATTTCTTTCGATTGTTTTTACGGCATGTGAACATGAATATATAAAAAATTTACACACACATCCCCAATTATCGCGTCTAGAAAAGGCCCTGTTTACAGATAATTTTCCAAAGCAACATTGAACATATTAAAAAACTTACGTTGAGGGTTTTGAAATGGAGGTACATTTTCATAACACTTTCCAAAAGAAAGAATATGTATATCCCAACTGCAACCATAACCAATTTCCACATATAACTCAACTCATCATGGCCGAGTTCCAATGCCTGAAAAGGATAAAAACATTGTACAAGATATACCAACAACCGTGGATAATACCGAGAAATATAGCCATGAGATTAACGCAGGTTCTATTTAATTTCTTATATTTCACCGCTTTTTCTTGTGGCAAAACGACTGAGTACAGTGCAGTGAGTTTAAAACACTCGTAATTTTCTTTAAACGTTTTGCTAGAACTTCGTGAAGACAATACTATTTCCAATCTTTTGACTACGTACGTTTGACCACGGTTATATATTTAGCATTCTCAATTTTGTCTGCATGCGACCCAACCACTTTATTTGCTAAAATCGACGTTTAATCTTCATTTATTTTGTTATACGTTTCATTTTTGTGATATATTTCTGAAACCATTTAATTATTTCCGCATATTTGAGCTTTAATATATTTCCTAGAATATACATGTATATATATCTCACAAATCCCAAAAAAACCCAAAATTTATTTAGCGTACGTACTAGGCATGTCCGAAGGTCGCATCTTCACGTGATGACGCACGTAATTTTTTTTTGTTATTCGCCGGTCGATAACGTATTATCTCCCTTTCGCGCTGTTGCGAGGGAGACAGCCTAATTTCGTCACTGTCACGTGATATGCTCTCAACCAATAAAACACTAGAAAAATGGGACTTTGACTATTGATATATAATAATTAAATTTGTTTGGTTGTTGTTGTTGTTGTTGTTGTTGTTGTTGTTGTTGTTGTTGTTGTTGTTGTTGTTGTTGTTGTTGTTGTTGTTGTTGTTGTTGTTGTTGTTGTTGTTGTTGTTTATGTTGTTGTTGTTTGTTGTTGTTGTTGTTTGTTGTTGTTTATGTTGTTGTTGTTTATGTTGTTGTTGTTTATGTTGTTGTTGTTGTCGTTGTTGTTGTTAGTGTAGTTGTTGTTGTTGTTGTTGTTGTTGTTGTTGTTGTTGTTGTTGTTGTTGTTGTTGTTGTTGTGGTTGCTGCTGTTGCTGCTGCTGTTGTTGCTGTTGCTGCTGCTGTTGCTGCTGTTGTTGTTGTTGTCGTTGTCGTTGTCGTTGTCGTTGTTGTTGTTGTTGTTGTTGTTGTTGTTGTTGTTGTTGTTGTTGTTGATGTTGTTGATGTTATTAATAAGTTCTTTGTACGATTGCATGGCGATAAAACATATAATAGTCGGGTTATTAAGTCGTATAATTCTTCCCGAGTTGATATTTCTTGCAGAGGTGACGAAGATGTTGACATTTTATGCACAAGCATCTCATGAGTTGGTTCCACCAGAGGTAAGCAGAGAACTTGGGTACGCAACGTTTGTGTCAACACGAACATCGCCTGAACAAACCATTAACGATGACGACAGCACGTATTTTGCGTAGCGATACCCAACTGCTCCGCATTTCCACAATTGTTACAAAAGTTAAGATTGATAATAGAGGGTTAAAGATTGACGTTTATTTCGTTAACGTTTAACCTCTGACCGTTTTGTTTATCGTTCAGCTTGACGTTTTGAACGTCGAATA